ATTAGCTACGCCACTGTCTGCATCGGCTCTCAGCTCGCGAGAGATAACCTCGCCGATATCCGCCGCGTGGTCGCTTATCCAAACACACCACCACACACGTCGATCTCACGTGTCCGGTGATCTCGGCCCCGATACAGGTCCCCGTATCGACTCGATCGGCCGACTTGCTCTGCAAAACGTTTCTATCCGCGCTGCGGGCCGTGCCCGGCTTATTAACGTCGTGCCCGATCAGCGAACTTGCGATTTTAATTGCGCGCACTCCCGTCGTCGTCCTACGCCAGTGATGCACGACCTGTTTTAACCCTTTTTGCTTTTGTGCTCCGCGCATCCCTCGTGACCTGTATAAATCGTTCTTGTTTACAACACTTTTTAGAATGATGTATCAATTATACTATTTGCATAGGAAGTTTAACCCAATTAATCCCTTCGATACGGCTGTTAAGTATCGAATCCGTAACGGCAGAGATGAAACTGCTATGGTGTATTCTGCGTTAACGCTGAAATTACTGAATAGACGAGACTAACTCATTCTGAATTTCTTCTTTTAGAGTGTTTAACACTAGAACTGCCAGGTGGATCGGAATGATCAATTCCCAATTCCTTCTTTCAGAATAACTGCAAAAGTACAGATATTTCTTTAAGAAATGATTAAAGAAACTGATTTAGTAGTACCTAAACTGAATAAACCAATTGAAGTGTTATTAAATTCGCGCGTATAGCTTTTAAAAAGAAATGTTCAAAAGACGGTTTAAGTGTTCGGTAGTTCTAGTGTTAACAAGGTACAGGTGGCTTTCTGATGAATTTTTAGATAAACCGATTTAGGATGTGCATTCTGGAGTGTGTAGTAGTTCAAGTCTTAGTAAAGTAATATTGTAATTGGTATAAGAAAATAGATGTTCAGTAATTTTGAATGTTGGATTGTTCTAATGGTTGCATTGTGAACGAATGCAAAACATCGATGGGTGATTAGAGTTACTGATAGCTTTGAAAGGCTTGGAAATACGTTTACATATCCATCTTTCTTTCTTTTGCTATTCCTTCAGTTAACAATTGTTTATATAATTTATATGAATGAACGGGATTTGTTATTGCAGTCGTGTAACGTTGTCCTACGAGCTGTGGATCCTTGCTCCTCTTTCTCCTCCTCCCTTCTGTCGTCCCTCGCTTTCCTTTTCACTCGCACTTAATTCTTTAAAGGAATCAGAACGAGCACGCACGAATTACGAACAATTATGGGAATACTGGCGATTCGTTCGCGGAAAATTTTTTCGCGGTTCCGCCGTGCGTAACCGAATTCTTCACGCGCGTCGAATCGTCCGACGAGTTTTCTCACGCGCAACGTCGCGATCGCGAGCCGTGAGCGAAGAGTAAACGAACGGGTGTCTAGAAGAAAGAAGTACTTACACCGTGTTTTCTGAAATGTTAGAAGAAAACATAAGAACCATTTATTGCTCACTCTAGCGAGTTTATTTTTAGAAAAGGAATTTTATCATTCAGAACACAGAAACCGGTTTGTTCATAATTAAATGATATACCTTGTTAGTGTCGTAGGTATTACTCCTTCCAAGAATAATCTGTTAAAAATAGTAAAATACTGATTAATATACGATATTAGAAAAAAAACAAGCTAAGAATAGGAGTAAAGTAACAAAGGAACGGAATAAAATGTAACAAGAAAAACAAGCGTAAGAAAAGCGGCAACCAGTCCCAGAGAAAACGCCGAATAACTAGATTTCATGCAAATGTAGATTTCGTATGCATCGGTTCGCAAGAAATAAACTGAGAAACATGTTTATCTTGTTTCGTTCATTAACGACATTGCTGCAAATGAATACTAACGATACGCAATGTAATATTCCTCGATGGTGACTTCAAATGGAACGCGCTTCTGCCGATCTTCCCGTTCTCCACACTTCCCTGCCGGACCGTTATCAGCGTTGGCTTCGCAAAGGATGTTCGCGATAGGGAGCCAGCGTCATTGACCGCTTGTCGTTCGCTCGAAACACTTCTTCCCTCCGATTTCCATATTTTCTTCGCGCAGGAAGCGTGCGCCGATGAAAATATTCCCTCGATTGCAACCTCGAGGCGAGCGAGTAAGCGAGCGCGCGCGCCCGTTGGTGTAGAGCGATCGTAATCTGCGCGCGGGGTGCTCTTTCAGCCGTGGATTAAGTTCAACATTATTTCACTTAACGCGTCGTTGCGTGAACGGATCGCGGCAGCGAAATTCGATGTGCGGTAATTATTATGTATTTATGTTTCTGCGTCTGTTATCGGAGGAGGGCTCTATTAAACGCCACGATTTTATGTGTTTGATAATACGCGCTCGCCCGCTTCCTGCCGGAACGAGGATAATTTACCGGGAATAAGAATTCGATTTTACCGTATGAATATTTAAACAATATCCAGGGTAATCGGTGTTATCTTAATTACAATGTTTCTGTGGTATCGACACCGTTCATTATGTATTATAAAGTTTCCAGGCTCTTCTTAACTGGCAATTTGCTGTTTTTATTATGAACGGTGCAGCACGACGCACAGGGCGATTTGAAAGTAAAATTGAACTTTTATATATTTAGGAAAGAATTAATTTTATGTTGTGGTAGTCTTATTTTGTAAGAGGGAGGAAATAAATTATACGGTCTTTTCACTTCGGGTAATTTGACTTCTGGAGCACGTTGTACATTTGATGCTTTATCTTATAAAATACGCTGCAGGAAAAAGATGGGAATTTAATTAAAGCCAACCCGTTTTCTACTCGCTTTCAAAGACATTTTCTATTTTAGTTTCTCATATTCCGACTTTCGATTAACAGCGTCGAAGACATGGCAAGAATCAGCGAACGGTGGCAAAGAAAAGTCGATCAACGGACCGTGAAGACGTCGGTTTCGAGCGGCGAGTCAATTTCCTAATACAAAAGCGTAAACATCGAAACTGTATTATCATCCGATCGAATTGATTGATCTTTAACTGAAAATCTTGTGACCTGGTGGAAAAGTCCTGACGCACGTTCATTAATCTCGTCTAGTCTCCGATATTGATGATTAATCATCGATAGGTTAAACGCGTCGTCACTGCCAATCTCTCTCACGATTGAACCTCTTCGAGTCAGTACATTTTCAAAGACAAATTTTAAACTGCCAAAAATTTCGCGTCCATCGCCATAAATCACTACAAAGACGAAGCAATGTCAGCAAAGTCGCTATGCCAATCGACGCGTTAACACTAGAGCTACCAACCACTTGAACGGACATCTCCAAATTTCTTTATAAAACTTATAACTGTATTTATTAAGATTTCAATTGGTTTTCAGTGCAGGTATTACCAACTCAGCTTCTTCAACCATTTCTCATAGCAGCGCCTGCACCTTCTCAGAAATCGTATAAAAAGAAATCAGGAGTAGGTCATTCCGACCCATCTGGTAGTTCCAGTGTTAAAACACTTCGGTACGCTAAAAATTCGTCGAAAGCTTGAGCGTACAAAAATTCGATTAGATCTGCATAAACGTGCGCAGCCTAACGAAGCATTTCTCTTTCCCCGTGCCGTGTGTATCGACACTTTTTTTTTTATCGGGAACGATTTCTTGCACGGTTGTTCCAGACACATACCAAAGGCGAAAGCCACCACAATGGCGGAGACGCCGGAGCTGAAGCGTATCGCGGAGAACACGAAGATCCAGAGCAACGTGAAGTACCACGCGGAGTTCGAGAAGGCGAAGGGTAAGTTCACCCAGGTGGCGGACGACCCGGAGACCCTGAGGATCAAGCAGAACAGCAAGATCATCTCGAACGTCGCGTACCACGGCGAGCTCCAGAAGAAGGCGATCATGGAGCAGAAAAGGACGATGACCGGCGAGAATGGCGAACAAATTGGTGAGTCAACCCTCCCTCTTTCTTTCCCTCGTGCTCCCCCCTCCTCCACCCCTATTTCTCTCTTTCGCTCCGTTCCTCTCTTTTCTATCCTCCTTGCACTCTGCCGTGAACGCGCTTCTTTGTCGTTTCAATGTTTGCATCCATTCCGGCACACTGGGTGAACGGGGCCATTGAGACATTCTTGATGTGTAGCTGAACGTGCTTTGGATGGTACACGTATCCGTAGACGTTTATTCGACGTATCGATTCGTTCGAACGGCTCGCTCGGATTACTAGACCTCGGTCGTTGCTTTCTTCCTGGCCGACTAAGCTTTTCAATAGTCGCGCGAGCGTAATTAGGAACAAACCGACAATTGAGGTCGCGTTTCTTCGGAAGCGCGAATAATGTATTATTCGCATCGATACGAGTGTTCCCTTGCGATTGGGTGCCAGAGGTTATAACACGTTAAATGCCGTGGGTCACCGGTAACCCCCAACAGAATTGAATTACTATAATTCATTCAATTAAACGTTATTTGAAAACTTTTCTATATTATAAATAATATTACATAATGCGGTGACATTCAGCTAGATGAACATGTAATAATAATGCAATTCAATGAAACGATTTGATGTTATATTTCTTCCATTTTGTGTATTTTGCTCCATGAAATCGTGCGGTGTTCAACGTGTCAATAAATAAGGGAACGAAACTTTTTCTGACGATTTAATCGAAGGCATGTCCGAGGTCTAGAGATCCGAGCAGCTCGCTTCACGCTGCAGCTAATCCGTGTATGTACAGGGTGTGGTGAAAATTGTGGTACAATCGCCTGTCAAAAGCGAATTAATGGTCACTCGATCGGTGTGCGAACGTGTGCCCGCGCGTCGGACGCTCGGAGTTGCTTCTTTCGAGAAAAGAACTTTCACACGAGGATCGTGCTCGAACACCCGAGCCTACTTTTCCACGAGGAAATTATCCCGTATCACGATTTTTGCTGTGCGTTATACGCATTGTTCTCTGGCGAATTAATGGCCGCTTTAACTATCGCACGCGAGGAATCCGAACTTAATCTTAACTTCTATGCTGGAATCGTGAAAGTAGGTTGAAATTACTATCGCCGCGTAAGTTCTTCCTTTCCCCGTTATTTTCGGCGCAAACGTGTATACGATAATAAGAAACTTCGGTTTACACTCGGTGTAGAATACGTTCACTGTTCAAGGACGTTTTTCCTACTTTGTTGCGCGGTAGGAGTTATTATAAGTAACAAGCGAAATGATTGAACGATGCATCGAATAGTTGAACTGTAAACTATGGGTATGCTTCTAATTAAGTACCAATTAATGCTCAATATCTCTGAAACAAATGCTCGTATCCTGCAATCCTAAAATACTATTAGCTCTATCAACTAATACAGAACAAGCTCTCTCTTTCTAAAATCTTATTCTATTAGCCGCCTAGACAACGTTTCTCCTCCAAACTGCCGCGATACTTTAACTCTTTCGACGCTATATGATTGCCTCTCTAGTTCAAGGATGTCCAAGTAGTACCATCTAGCGAGAGCCAAAGCCGTAAAAAAATGAGTACAGTGCAGTCGCGCGAGTGAAGATTTCATAGAAAGTTTTCGTGACTTTGCGATGGCGTATTACTCGCAGATTCTTCCAATCAACTTTGGCTCTTCAGGATACGTACAGCCGTTGCATACTTCTTGTCTGTGTTTCTGTTGGCATACATAAAGATCCTAAGGGAAATTCCATTGTATACTGCCTTTATACAATTCTTAACACTAGAACTATCGAATGTGTCACGATAATCCATTCTTAAATAATTCGTTACCAATTATTGAAAACACAACAGACGCTTCTCTAATTTAATACTAGGTTCACGGGACGCGTCGATTCTGATTAATTCAATGATACGAATATATATCTTAATAGTCTATTTTCTAATCAGTAATTTCCAAGATCTGAACGAACATTAATTTTTCTAAGAGCAACGGAATAAACCGTACAATAAACATCCGTGAACCTAGCGTTAACTGGAGAAATCGATTTAGCAATGCTCAAACTGAATTGTAAACCGATTGAAGTTTCAGTAGACGTACTCGCGGAGTTTCTATAGAGACATTGGAAAAAGTCAATTCAACTGTTGGTTCAACCGTGTAGTTCTAGTATTAGGTTTGTGGCCCTAACTTGGACATACCTGCTCCAGCCGGTCTATCGGCGTTAGCTATCCCCGTAGTCGGCCTATCGATGCTAGGCCATCCCCTTCAAGCTGTCTTCGCGTAAATCCTGGCGATCTCTCGAGAACAATCGCCCCGAGTGAAATAGCTCTCCCGGCACGGCTCGTTTGTCGAAAGCATCAATCGGCAGCTTGTGGTTTGTTGGATCTAGAGTACGTAGAGTACACGGACGGTACGATCGCGCCTGCATCGGGCGTGAACGCGAATCCACCGGCGGCGAGAAGCGCGAGCTCGCCGGTGCAGAGGACACCAGGTAGGATCGCCGATTACGATCCCCTTAGCGAGGCCAGACCCAGCCCCTATTCCGCCAGACAAGCGGCCACCACTGTGATTTATACGAGCGACAAGGGACCAGGTGAGTTCTCGCCGATTTCACGGGGCAGACCATTGATAGAACATCTAGGACGCTAGGACTTAGATATTCCCCCCTCTTATGTTTATTTTTCATTTTGTTACTTTGCAACAGTATTCAAAGATCCACGTATGAAACCAGTTCCTCCCCAAGTTTACACAAAGCGATCAATTTCCATTTTAGCAATGAACTTATTTTAGTGTCACGGGTTAGAGGATAGTAAAAAGAGAGTATATATATATATATATATATTATATATATTTTCTATTTTATTAGACACGCGGTATTGATATAGATGAATTTATTGCGATAAACTGAACATCTTGTAGCGTGCGAAACAATACTTAAGCGATCTCGGTCATCGGTGCCCTTATTTCGTGTGCTAGTGATCATATGGGTTGGTCATTCGTTGCGCAACCGATAGCAGTTAGTTTCAATAGATCGCCTTTTAATTGGATTAGTTCGAATAGGTAGATACGGTTTCGGCCGCTCCTATTGTAACGTCAATTATTACCCACCCCGGATCAACGTTGCGTACAATGCATCGCATCGGACGTCTACCGTTGGACGTTAAAGTTTTGGTGCACGCACACTTCGTCTCACTTCATCCCATTTCGTTTAGCTAGCAATTCCTGTGCCGCGGCGATACAGTGAAGAAAATCATTGTGGTTAACGGTGGCTGGTTAGACAGTGTTTCTGTTTCCGTGTAAATGTGTCCCACATTTTTTTCTCCTCCATCTCGTTCGGCACTCACCGACTCACTGCTTCCCGCGGCGTGTTGTTCACCATTTTGTTGTACACGGGACGGGGTATCCGCCGAACGTGATTTCTCACTGTCGATCTCTGGTTTTCAAGGGTAATATTCGCGGAAAAGAGCAAGTGTGTCGATGTTCATGTTTCTCGAACGACTAACGACATAATGAATCGTTCTAGTGACGAACCCGCCGACGAGAAAGATCGGTTCGGTAGCGGATATAGACCCAGTGAACGACTACTACGGATCGTTGACGCCCGCCACGAATAACAACCACGTTCCACAGCATCAACCGCCGCCACCTCCACCCACCAACGTTGGGGTAAGTCCGACAATGTTCTTTTCGCGAGAGTGAACGATCTAATTCCTTAAGAACAATGGTTCAATTGATAAATTCTGATTCGCAGCGAGTGTACCGAGCGATGTACGACTACGAGGCACAAGATCTGGACGAAGTGAGCTTCTGCGATGGCGATTTAATCGTGAACTGCACGGCCATCGACGAGGGCTGGATGACCGGTCTGGTGCAGCGCACGGGCCGCCACGGCATGCTGCCCGCGAACTACGTCGAGCCGGCACAGATCTAAGGGAAGCTTCCGGTCGCGCGTTAAGTGTCCTCTCATCGTCTTCGTTTCCCCCTGCGGTGGTCGGGGCACTCGATCGAACAAGAAAAGTAAACGAAATGAAACACAACAGAGCAAACGGTAAAGAAAAATAAGTGGAGACGGACAGTGAGGAAAACGAGCGAGCGAGCAGGGTGCGCGGAGCGGAACCCCTTGCAGAAAGGGAAGAGAGACGACGATGGAAACTGCCGCAGCGGCATTCGACATCTTCCTTCCCGCTGCTCGACGATCTTCCGAATCTTCGACGATCTCTGGCCGATCGCACGGAACCGTGAACCGCGTCGTTTCGAAAGACAGGAGATACGCCCGGCACGGAGAGATCTCTCCTGGATCCCTCCTCGGGCAGAGATCGAAAGCCGGGGGATCGGACGCGAGAGAGAATAATCCAAGAGCGTTGAATCGAGGATTCTCAGCGCTCTCCCGATTCATCGTCTCGTGTCCGTTGTTTTTCGAATAGGATCGTCGATCATCCTTTCGCGGGTAGTGCAACGAAGGACCTGGGACGAGGGATCGAGAGCTGTATCCGCGCTACGTGTCCGGAGGACAGTCGTTCGTTCCGGTCGGTCAGTCGTTCTCTCGTGCTCCGGTTAAATTCCGAGTGCCTGCATTCTTGCATTTCAGTCGGCGACTACGAAAATATAGAAATTCCACGTTGGGACCAAACTCGGGGCTCGCCTCGTCGACGAGGGAGCACGGGCCCGCTAAGTGCCTTTCGCGAACAGCGACACGCGCCACGAGGAACCGAGCGAAACGTTCGAGGCACACCGGCATCGTTTTCTTTTATATTGTTTCTCGCAGCGAGCTTGAGTTGCAATCATTCCGTTGCTTCGAGGATTCCACTTCTGTTCTTCTTCTGTTTCCCTTCCCCCCTCTGTTTTTTTGTTTGTTTTTAGTTTCATTTCTTCGACGCGCGGTAGGAAAACGCGTTCCGGCGCGACAACAAAGACCGGAAGCTTCCATGTCTTTCTCACCGTCGACGCAGTTTCGTTTCGTTTTTTTTTCTCTTTTTCGAAGACTCGGTGTCGCAAGATAGACGCTGAATTTAATTTTTTTACACGTGCACACGTATCGTCGATGACTCTCCTTTTTCTTCTTCTTTTTAATTGGTGGTAGCCACTGTCCTGTCAGTCTTTGCCCATCGTCGCGCGTCGTTCGTCGAACGTCGGCTTCGTGAAACCGTCCACGCTCGACGGAGATCGCTATTTATTTCACGGGGATGGACGGTGTTCGAGCTTCATAGGCTGCGGTTACGTTTGACGTGTATTCGAACGAATTGACGTTTTGAGGAATCCGATACGTCAATGGAATTAAATGTCTGTCCCAGTAATGAGCAACATTTGATTCGCGGTGGGCAAACATTGGGAGCCTAATATTCTACCCGGGCCGCGGGTTGCTCGTATATTTATGAGATTCAGATATTTATTCGCCGGAACGCCAGTTCGACAAAAAACGCGTCTAATGTAACCACAGCTTTGTCCCCAAACGCGGAGACTCGAACATAACGCCTTCACCGCGTTCATTGTGATCGAAAAGGAACAACGATGTGCCTTATATACGTAGATCCTCTAACTAAGAACGATCGAAACGCGAAACTCGCGAGTCCAGACGAGGAGATTGATCGTTCGAACGGGGAAAGGGAATAATGATTCACGGGCGGAACGTCTGTTTCGTTGATGCATGTGGCCGCGAGTCGAACA